TACTCCTCTAATGAATAAATGCTTTTATTATAAGGATCGTCTTTGTCTTATTTAAGTTTTTTTTTTTTTTTTTTTTTTTTTGAGACAGAGTTTTGCTCTTGTTACCCAGGCTGGAGTGCAATGGCGCGATCTCGGCTCACCGCAACCTCCGCCTCCTGGGTTCAGGCAATTCTCCTGCCTCAGCCTCCTGAGTAGCTGGGACTACAGGCACGCACCACCATGCCCAGCTAATTTTTTGTATTTTTAGTAGAGACGGGGTTTCACCATGTTAACCAGGATGGTCTTGATCTCTTAACCTCGTGATCCACCCACCTCGGCCTCCCAAAGTGCTGGGACAGGCGTGAGCCACTGCGCCCGGCCTATTTAAGTATTTTTTACTTAAAGTTTATTTTATCTGATATCAGTATAGGTACCTCTGCTCTCTTTTGATGTGTTTGTGTAGAATATCTTTTTTCATCCCTTTACTTTCCATACGTTTAAGGTTAAATGAATCTCTCATAAGCAGCACAGACACGGATCTTATTTGTTCATCCATTCAGCCATTCCATTTCTTTTGATTAAAGATTATGATATATTTATATTCAAGGTAAGTATTGACATGTAAGAACTTACACTGCCCTTTTGGTCACTGTTTTCTGGCTGTTACGTAGATTTTGTCCCCTTTCTCTCCTGTTTTCTCCCTTTATAATTAGACAATTTTATGTGCAGTGGTATGCCTTGAATTTTTACTTCTAATATTTTCTTTATCTACTACAGGTTTTTGGTTTTGGTTACCATGAGGCTTACACAAAATATCTTAGAGTTATAGCAGGCTACGTCAAGCTGACAATAATCTAACTTCAATTACATTGAAAAACTCTACACTCTTCTCCCAGCATTTTGTGGTTTTGATGTCACAGTTTACATCTTTTGATATTGTGTATCCCTCAAAATAGGGGTCCCCACTCCTGGACTGCCACCTGGTACCAGTCTGTGGCCTTTTAGAAACCAGGCTGCACAGCAGAAGGTGAGCAGTGGCTGACAAAGCATTACCACCTGAGCTTTGCCTCCTGTCAGGTCAGCAGTGGCATAAGATTCTCATAGGAGTGTGAACTGCATGTGCCAGGGATCTAGGTTGCATGCTCCTTATGAGAATCTAACTAATGACTGATGATCTGAGGTGGAATAATTACATCCCAAAACCATTCCCTACCCTGCAACTCCCAGTCCATGGAAATATTGTCTTCCATGAAACTGGTCCTTGGTGCCAAAAAGTTTGGGAATCACTGCCTTAACAAATCATTGTAGCTACTATTATTTCAAAAAGTTTTGTCCTAAAATCTTCATACTAAAGATATAAGGGATTTTCACATTAGCATTATAGTATTAGAGTATTCTGAATTTCTTTTTTCTTTCTTTCTTTCTTTCTTTCTTTCTTTCTTTCTTTCTTTCTTTCTTTCTTTCTTTTTTTTTAAGATCAAGTCTCACAGTTGTTGACCAGGCTGGAGTGCAGGGGCATAATCTTGGCTCACTGCAACCTCTGACTCCTGGGTTCAAGCAATTCTCCTGCCTCAGCCTCCAAAGTAGCTGGGATTACAGGCACCTGCCACCATGCCTGGCTAATTTTTGCACATTTAGTAGAGAGAGTGATTCACCATGTTGGCCAGCCTGATCTCAAACTCCTGACCTCATGATCTCCCCACATCAGCCTCCTGATGTGCTGGGATTGCAGGTATGAGCCACCACGCCCAGTCACCTGCTTTTCTTTTAAAGCAGGTCTAGCAGTGATAAACTTCCACAGTCTAATCTGTCTGGGAAAATTCTTATTTGTCCTTCATTTCTAAAAGACAGATTTGTTGGTTATAATATTCTTGGTTGCCAATTTTTTAAAAAAAATTTTCATTTTATTTAATATATCATTCAGCTTTGTCTTGGTTTTTAAGGTCTCTCCTGAGAAGTCAGAGGATAATCTTATAAAGGTTCTCTCATATGTGACAAGTTGATTTTTTTCTTGCTACTTTCAAAATTCTCTTTGCCTTTGGCAGTTGAAAATTGTATTATAATGCATTGGGTAAAGATCACTGTATATGCAATCTATTTAGGGTTATTTGGGCTTCCTGAATCTATATGTTAATTTCTAGCTCCAGATTTGAACAATTTTTGCCATTATTCACTTTTGTCTTTTCCTCTTTGTGTTCCTTCTGGGACACCTCCATTACATTCATTAGTTTGCATGACAGTTTTTTATAAATTCTATAGGATTTCTTTACTCTTTTTGTGCTTCTTGTTTTGTTTATCTCACAGGGTAATTTAAAATGACCTGTTCTTAGTCTCACAGATCCTTTCTTCTGGTTAATCAAGTCTACTGTTGAACAAATGTTTCAGTTTAGTCATTGTGTCTTTAGCTACAGAATTTGTGTGGTTCTTTTTTACGGTTGCTGTCTTTTTTGATCTTATAGTTTTATTTGTGTATACTTCTACTGATTTTATTTCTATATGTTTTGATATTCTCTTGTAGTGCACTGAGCATTTAAATATAACCACTTTGAATTATTTTGTCAGACATTTGTAAATGTCTCCATTTTTTTTTAGGGTCAGTTACTGGTGCTTCGTTTTTATGGCAGTGTCATGGTTCCCTGATTGTTTGCAATTCTTATGGCCATGCGTTGGTGACTATGCATTTTAAGTAGGCACTTGTTCCAATAAATATAGAATGACTTTGACAGGAAAAGCCCTTCACCAATCATCCTGTCCAGAATTCTGGACAGGGATCTGATGCCTGGAATTAGTCCATGATAAGCTTGAGGCTGGAGTTCTTGGGCAGGCTCACCTGGTGCTTGGTTCTGTGGGGTTCAGCCTATAGCCTGGGCTCACCGGGATTGACCTGTTGATTGGGTCTACAATGATGGTTCTATGGCCTTTCTCCATGTGGCTGGGCCTGAAGCCTGAATCAACTGGCCAAGTCTGAATCCTGAGTCCACAGAGGCTGACTTGGCACTGAGGAAGTCCTAAGTCTGTGTCTGCAGTGGCCATCGAGGTGCTGGGATGGGAGTGGTGCCTGTGATGGAACTGGAGCCTGAGTCTATAGATTCTAGCCTAGCCCTGGAGAAAGTCTGGAGCCTGATTCCATGTCTATAGGCCTGGGCCCTTGGTTTTCAGAGGTTATCCTAAAGACTGAGTCCACAGGGGTGGGTCTTGGGCTTTGGTCCACAGGGAAAGCTTGTGCAGGAGTCTACTGCTATGGTTCTGGACCCAGGATACACTGAAACATGTCTAGATCTTGGGTTCACTGAGTCTGGCACTCTGGGGACCAGCCTGGGTCCTGGGGCAGTGTGACGCAGGGGAGTCCTAGAACCTAGGTTTGCAAGTTCTTGTCTGGAGCATAGGTCTACAGAAGCCAGTCTGGAGGTTAGATGTGTGCATGTTGGCCTGGAGGCTAGATTCATGAGGACTGGCTTGGAGCCTGGGGCACAGCGCCTGGTTCAGATCTGGTGTCATCAACCCTTCAGGCTGAATATGGGTCCTGGGACTGTGGGGGCTCTCCTGGAACCTGGGTGTGCAGGGGAAATTCTAGAACCTGGGTTTGCAGAGGCTGGACTGGCAGTGGAAACTTTTAAGATAGGCCCAATCTTTGGGTTTACTGGAGCACAGGGTCACAGGGGATGGTCTTGAGTATATGCAGGCTTGTATATCTTCTGGTGCTGATCTGAAGTCAAGGGTTGCAGTTAACTGGAGATTGACTGAGGGGCCTTTATCTGTCGGAGCTGACCTAGTTCTGGGTTAGCCTACAACCTGGGACCACAGTAGCTGTCTTAGTGTTGGGGTGAGGCTGTAGCCTTGGACCATGGTGCCAGCCTGAAAGCTGGGGTCCTGTGGGACCACCTGGCACTGGTTTTACTGTGGTAGGTGCAGTGTTGAGATCTGAGCCAAAGTTTAATACCCACTCACCTTCCTTCACATAGAGAATATTTCCGTCTACATTGTACAGCCTGGAGTGGGAGGAAGGATGGTGTGGGTCATATAAACTCTCCTTACTACTCTCTTCAATTTTTTTTTCTTATTTCTGTGCTACTCAAGTGTTGAAATGTATCACTTGGTTTTACAAGCTCCTGTGAGGATATTTTATGCTTGGGTAGTTGTTCAAACTGAGGCATTTGTGAAGGGATGAACTTTTTTGAAAGTTTCTGTTCTGCCAACTTGCTGGTATCACTCCAGGGATTTTTACTACAATAAACATTGTGAAAATATCCTATGTAATTGAGCATGAAAACTGGGCAATTTAATTCCTATGTTCCTGAAGGTTTTCTGTCTACCTAGGCTGGTTCAGAAGTTAAGCAATCGGTTAACCCTCTGTAAGTAAATCCAAAACCCTCTCACTCCCTTCCTGCCTCTCTCATGCATCTGCACCTCCCATACTGGAGGATCCCTCCCCTCTGGGAGAAAGTAGCTTGGTCTTGATTTCCTTCTTGAACAAACCCTATACCTTCATATCTTGTATAACTTCCATTCTACTTGATGCTGCTCGTGTATGTTTCTTATGTTGTTACCCAGGTTCATGGACCCCCGGGGATTAATGAGAATGCAGACTTATTTTCCAAAGGTGGGGAGGCCCTGAGGTTCAACATTTTAAAGAGATTTTCCAGAGACGCCGCTGCCACCTCACATGTCAGGACCATTTTATGAGGATGTGCCTAGAAGACCTTCCTCTACCCACCAACCTGCCAAGGACCAGGAAAAGCATGTAAGCCATGCTTCGGGAGCAGAGGCTACAAGACTCAGGGAGGCCAAGGCCCTGTCTGAGCTCATTCATGCACACAAGGTATCTGAGAGGAGATAGTCATTGTACCTCGGGCCACATGGGTTATTGGCCATGAGCCCTGAGACAGCAGCTCAGATGCACCACTTGTGCCACCTGGAGCTGGCTCAGAAATCCACCTACCCAGATCCTCCCTGTCTGCCCTGATGAGAATAACTCCGTCAAACACTCAACCCCTTTCGCTCAGAACTACAGCCCACAGAGCTTCTGAACATGCTGATGTTTAGTGATCTGTACCACATGATTAGGCTCAGGATGCGTGGATTTTCTAAAACGCTGGTCTGAGATCTCAGACACCTGCAAAAGAGGGTAACAAACCAGTACAGAGCTGGTCCGTCACCGAAGAGTCGTCAGGAGAGAAGTGCTGACGTCCACAGAATGTGGGAGCAGTACCCGGCCGGGCCTGGGAGTGGCTTTCCCTCAGTGGAATCCCTCCAGGCAGGTCTTGTTCAGGAGGCCGAAGTGTGTCCTCCAGGGCCTGGTGCTGATGGTAAGGAAGCAGGTGAAAGTCTGAAAGAAGAAGCACAGGAAGGGACTGTGGGTGAGGGAGGCTCAGGAAGCTCACGGCTCACGCTCTCAACAATGGCTCCCTCTTCACATCGCCCTTTCCCAGGTCAAGCAGCAGGAAGATGGAGGCTCTGGCCATCAGATGCTGCCCCCAAGCCTGAGTCCTGGGCTGTTCTGGAGGTTTGAGCTGAACTGGAGCTCTCTTCTGACCCAGGGGCACCCATGCTGTGTTCCCTCTCCCCAGCAGTGGCTTTCAGGGGAACACCAGTCTGTCCTGGTGTAATCCCTGCATCCAGGAGCAGGAGAATGCATTGTCTCAGTGGAAGCAGTTCCTAGATTTAAGCAATTAGCTACGCATTTGTTAATCTTACAATAAGGGGGTTGGTTAAGCACAGGAAAAGTTTCCCCAGAGCCAGCCTTTACTTGAAGCTTGTCCCCTAGAGCAGCTGCTGCAGCTTGGAAGGGCCCTGGGCAGGGCCTGGGATGGAGAGGAGGGGGGCTCCTTCTCAGCCTCCACCTCTTTTGAGTCTAGGGCAGTGTAGGGAAACCCTGAGGTGAGAACTGCATCCACAGACAGAGGTGATGTTGGATCCCAGGTTCATCCAGAAGGTGGGGGAGGAAGTCCAGAGAGGGGACAGCTTCTTATTGGGCCCAGGAGACTGGGACCCCTGAGGGAAAGAGCAATCTTAAGGCCACATGCTGTGGGTGCAGGCAGCTTCAGTGGCATGACAGGGCAGAGTCGGGAAACTCAGACTGGCCAGGAGCCTGCAAGTGGACCCCTGGCTGCCTGCCCTCTTCCCTCCCCTCTAAGGGTGGCCTGGTGGAGGCCGCTGCATGCTCACTCCTCTAAGTCTCTTTGTCAGCTGCACCTGTGCCCACACCACACCCCACGCAGCATCCACAGCTGTGGACGTGAGGGAAGCTGATGTCCTGTCCTACTGTCTTACGTCGTTCAGCTCTGGGCTTTCTTGGAAAGGGCAGTTGTCAATGTCCTCTTCGAATTTTCCACACCTAGTTCTTCCCAGCAGGAGCTCCACTGAGAATACGGTCTTGGACTCCACCTATTACACACAGAGAGATTAATGTGAACACGCCCCCCTTGCTGCTTCTAAGTAGCTGCTGGCATAGGAGAATTCCCAACACTCTTCTCCATTAGGGAGCTCGCCCATGGGCCTGGCATCAGGAGATGTGCTTTAGAATGGGGAGTTAAGAGCAAAAAGCAGATGGGCATGGTGGCCCCAGGGCAGACACAGGCTGAGTCATAACCCACGAATGTATCCTCATTTCCAGATGTGCTTCCCACTCTCCCATGATGAGACTCCAGCTTCACTCTCAGCCAGTATCTGAACCTGCAGCTGCATTTCCAGAGGACGGCACTATGTGCCCAGGGAGGGTGTTGGCTCTCCAAGAGTTTTCAGGGTAACCTCAGCCCTGGGCCAGAGGGAACCTCATCTACTCCTTGTTGTCAAACCTTCCACCTGACCTCCAACAAAAAAATGCAAGAATGCCACCCAGCAGTCCCACTACACACAGGCACACACCCTTGGGACAGTGGCTTCAAGGGGCTGGGTGTGGTGGCTTACGCCTATAATCCTAGCACTTTGGGAGGCCAAAGCAGGCTGATCATGAAGTCAGGAGTTCAACACCAGCGTGGCCAACATAGTGAAACCCCATTTCTCCTAAAAATACAAAAAATCAGCAAGCACGTGGCAGGCGCCTGTAATCCCAGCTACTCTGGAGGCTGAGGCAGGAGAATTGCTTGAATCTGAGAGGCGGAGGTTGCAGTGAGCAGAGATTGCACCACTGCACTCCAGCCTGGATGACAGTGCCAGACGCCATCTCAAAAAACAAACAAAAACAAAAACAAATAGAAGTCCTCTACTTGGAGCCTGTTTCATTGTCCATGCCTGCAGTACAGATGCACAGTGGTTCTGATTGCACTCTGCAGTGACTCCATTGGAAGGAGAACATTTAGCATTAAGACCTGCTCTGAGGAAAAGTGTAAAACAGCCTTAGGTTTATTAAGTGCAGACACAGCAAGGAGCCCAGAGAAGGTAGAAATCAGCAAAGAGGAACCGACCACCCAGAGGCCTTTGGGATTGACAGGGTTTTCTTGCTGCTCCTGAACCCGTACTGTTCTCTTTTTTAGTTTTTATTTTTAAAATTACCTTTTTTTTTTATCACATTTTTGGAAATATTTCTCAATTTCTCTCTATTGACATTTTCTGTTCAGCCCTTTTCCTTATTCTGTATCTTCGTTTTCTCGGTAGTCTTCATTTCGAAGTCATCATTCAGTCAAATACTGTCATAAAAAGAAGGAGATTAAACAATACATTTTGCATGAGAGTCAATTAGGATCGATTTTTTTTAAATTGCTAGCTTGGATGTTTTCAAAATCAAAAATTAACTAAGTTACCTTGTATTATCTAAGTATGGACTATAATTGGTGAACAATAGCAAAGACCTGGAATCAACCCAAATGCCCATTGATGATAGACTGGATTGGGAAAATGTGGCACATATACACTATGGAATATTATGCAGCAATCAGAAATGATGAATTCGTGTCGTTTGTAGGGACATGGATGAATCTGGAGAACATCATTCTCAGCAAACTGACACAAGAACAGAAAATGAAACACCGCATATTCTCACTCATAGGCGGGTGATGAAAAATGAGAACACATGGACACAGAAAGGGGAGTACTAAACACTGGGGTCTATTGGGGGGAAAAGGGGAGGGCCAGTGGGAGGGGGAGGTGGGGAGGGATAGCCTGGGGAGAAATGCCAAATGTGGGTGAAGGGGTGAAAGCAAACAAAACACACTGCCACGTGTGTACCTATGGAACTGTATTGCATGCTCTGCACATGTACCCCAAAACCTAAAATGCAATAAAAAAAAATTTTTTTTTAATTTTAAAAAAAAAAGACTCCCTGTCCCCACCCCACTCCCATTTCTCCCTTAGCAGCAGATGCCAGGGCAAGAGGGGACCTGGTCACCAACCTGCTCCTTCCAGAAATTCAAGATGTGCACCAGTCTGTAGGCGTAGTGGTCCTTGCTCTGTTGGTTGAAGGTGTGTATGGCAAATTCCACTGTGGCAGGGAGGTAACGAGCCATGACATTGTATTCGTCACAGTCCCTTTGCTTATGGAAATGCCAGGCATGGGTCAGTAGGAGTTGGAAGCCCAAGGGAAGCAGCAGCCGCGCCCAGGACAGAGCCCCTCTCTGCAGCAGGCCCGGCATGGTGCTGACTGCAGCCACCCCTGCCTTTGCTCTTCCCAGCCCCTGTGTCCACAGGAGTTAGCTGGACCCAGGCGCAGCCTTAATTTCATCCGCTCCAGCACAGACTCCTCCTGCTGGTCCTCAGCTCCGCTATGACACCCTGTCCCTTCCCACAGGCGGACTCGCCTCCTCCAGCCAAGGTAGTTGAAGTTATTCCCACCATACAGTTTATGGCTGGCCCTGTATATCAGGGTGAATTTTAAATCATGAAATATTCACAGAAGGAAAAAGAGGAAGCCCACAGAATGAGTGGAAATCCACAAGAGAAGTAAAGAGTTTTCAGGTGAGAGGGTGAGCATCACAAGGACGCCGAGCCCTGGTCCCTCAGTTTTCTTGTGAGGCCTGAGCCTTGGGAGCTCATCTGTTGGCCCCTGGCTTGTGTCATCTGCAGCCGCTACAGGTGAGCTTCTCGGGTCACCAACCACACCAAAGCTTTGCTCTTGTCCTCTCCTCCCAAAAGATTCAAGAAGCAGGCTGAGTGGTCAGGTGCCAAACCGAGTCAGCAGGTGACACCAAGTAGCTGCAAACTTGACCCCGAGGAGAACACAGCTCTGTGAGACAAACTTGTCTCACCCCACACTGGTGACAGGCAGTTCTGCAGGACAGGAAGGACAGAATCCTGGACTAAAGGAAGGCAGCTCTGCATGTGGAGTCACTCATCTGCCTTCCTTCTGCCCTGTTCTCTCTAGGGCAGTGCAAGGCACAGGCAGGAGAGCAGCTACCCTCTGCCACTAGCAATGAAAGTGTCCTCAGGTGCCTGGTGTCCTTGGATGATTCTGTACCTTCACCTCCCACAGAGAACTGGGATAAGACCCGGGGAGATCTCTACTCTCACTCTCTCCTCCTTCACACAAACAAACAAAGGGTCTCCGCTGTTCAAAAAACTAACTAATTTATCAGTTTGCTCTTTCGTTGTCCAACATCTCAACGGTTGTACTCTGTGAACCAAGGGAAAAAATGCTAAGAAAAAAATGGCAACTGTTATCAACCATTTTGACCTGGAAGGGACAGTGAGTGCTGTGAGAAAAGGGCAGGAAAGGCAGAGCCCCAAGTCCTGAGGCCCCAGCCTGGTCATGCCCAGCCCAGCCCTGCAGGCATTTCTAAGCCTTGTGAGCCCTGGTTCCATCTGAGCCAGAGCCAAAGTGTCTCCAGGGCTCACCTCCCTACACCTGCAGCCCCACCACACACACTTACGTTTTATGACTGGAACACCATTCTAGATCAAATTTTCAAACACTTGCCGGGGAGAGTACATGTTTCTCTCTCAATGAGATAGAGGTTGGACTGTTCTTCTGACCCTTGATCATTTTTGTCTCCATCTGACTATCCTTCTTGGTGTTCTAGAGTGAGATATTTTGCCAACACTTAGGTGATGTTAGGTGATTACTTTTTATTTTTTATTTTTGAGATGGCGTCTCGCTCTGTCGCCAGGCTGAAGTGCAGTGGCGCCATCTCAGCTCACTGCCACCTCCGCCTCCCGGCTTCAAGCAATTCTCCTGCCTCAGCCTCCTGAGTAGCTGGGACTACAGACACATGCCACCATGCCCAGCTAATTTTTGTATTTTTAGTAGAGACGGGGTTTCACCATGTTGGCCAGGATGGGCTAGATCTCTTGACCTCGTGATCTTCCTGCCTCGGCCTTTCAACGTGCTGGGATTGCAGGTGTGAGCCACCGCACCTCGCCTGGTGGTTACTTTTAAATCAATTTCCTGGCAATAACTAATCTGAAAGAGAAAATGATAATATTTTGTTGCTCTAAGAACGGACATTAAATAGTGCAGGACAAGTGAAGTATGGAAAAGTGAGAGTGGGAAGTTTGGCTGAGAAGACTATGGCAGTGCAATATGGGCAAGAACCAAGCTTGTTGCCAGATAACAGAATAGAACGTCCAGTCCCAAGTCAGCCAGACTGATTCTAAAGACCTGCTCTGACCGTGTCCCACACCTGTTCCCAGATCACAGCAGGGCCAGCCCAGGGAAGACTGTCACTGCATCTGTCCACACTAGCACGGCACTGGCCAGGTCAGGAAATCTGCAGGTGAAGAGAGTCCTGCTGCCTCTCCCAGGATACCAGGTCCCGAGTGTCCGCTCACAGGAGGCCCCACCCACCACACACAGAAGGAAGCAGCTGGTATGTGGGGAGCTTCTGTGCAGGAGCCATGTGCCACCTGCATCTTGATCCTCTGCCTTGACTCCAGGAAGTGGGTGACATAGAGTAACCGAAACCTGTGTCCTGATTAGCAATGATCACAGGTGAAAGCTGTCACTGTTGCGTGTTTTATGTTTTTTTGTTTTTGTTTTTTTAGGGTTTTGTTTCGTTTGAGACAAGAGTCTCACTCTGTCACCCAGGCTTGAGTGCAGTGGCATGATCTTGGCTCTTTGCTGCAACTACCACCTCCTGGGCTCAAGAGATTCTCCTGACTCAGTGTCCTAAGTAGCTGAGATTACAGACGCGCCCCACCAGGCCCAGCTAATTCTTTATATTTTTAGTAGAGAAGGAGTTTTGCCATATTGGCCAAGCTAGTCTGAAACTCCTGGCCTCAAGTGATCCTCCCACCTCAGTCTCCTAAAGTGCTGGTATTACAGGCATGAGCCACCATGTCTGGATCCTATTGGGTTGTTGAAATGTCACTTGTCTTCTGATCAAGCCTAGCTGACTCATCCTCCTCATATTTGTTTACCCACGGCAAACAAACAGCTCAGCCACACAACTATTTGCAAAATTATTGTTAGATCTCCTGGGTTCTGAAACGTTTTCACTTGAGAAAGATTTTCAGTCAAACACAACTCACAAGTCAAGGGATCCATGACACAAGATTCATACTCTCCTTTTCACTTGGCAAAGTCTTGCTTATAATTGTGAGGCAGAAGCTGGCACTACAGGATTCCTTCCTACTGCATGAGTTACACAGAGAAATGAAACCCTCTCATTGGTTTCCTAAAAACTGAGATTGGGAAATGAAATAATGACAACAAACATAATGGCACAAATTGACACAGTTGTAGCTCATAGATATGTCTTCAGTCTGTTCAAAAACAAGAGACAGGTCAAGAAAGACCAGAGGTTACCCTGAACTGGCATCCCTGCCTGACTTTCAGCTTCAGGGCAAGCGAGAAGCCGTGGCCAGGACTGCGTGTGAGCGGCCTAAACATTGAAGGTGGGCCCGATACACACACCCTGTGGGCTAGTTTTGGAAGATTGTCGTTGATGTTACAATTGTTTGGTGACTTTGACCACATGTGACAAGTAACACACTCTGCACATAGTTTAGAAAAGTCACTAAACAAACACACAATTACAATCCACAGAAAACAGCAGTAAATCTTAAGGAGAAAGCAGACTCAGACTCCTAGAGGTACCACAATTTAGTATTTAAATGCCCAGTTTTCCAAAAAAATTATAAGGCATACAAAGGGCCATGAAAGTATGTCCCATTCACAGTCTGCTTTGTGGTGCAACGGCTTCCGGCCTGATGTGATCCTGCTTGTTTATTTCTGTTTTTGTTGCCTGTGCCTTTGAATTCCTTACGCAAAAAGTCTTTGCCCACACCAGTGTCCTGAAATGTTTTTCCAATGATTTCTTCTGGAAGTTTCACGGTTTCAGGTCTGAAATTTAAGCATTTAATCATTGTTTTAAAAATACAGTGACAGGTAGGGGTCTAACTTCACTTTTCTACATATGATTATCCAGTTTTTCCAGCAACATTTATTGAAGAGACTGCGCCTTCTCCAGCGGATTTTCTTGGCCTCTTCATCGAAAATGAGTTGGCTGTGAACATGTGGACTTATTTCTGGGTTCTCTATTCTGTTCCATTGGTCTATGTGTCTGTTTTTGTGCCAGCGCCATGCTGTTTGGTTACTGTAGTATTGTACTACATTTTGAAGTCAGGTATATTTTGATGGCCCCTGCCTTGTTACTTTTGCTGAGGATTGTCCTGGCTATGTGAAGTCTTTTGTGGTTCTATAGATACTTTTGGATATTTTTGTCCTTTTCTGTAAATTATGTCCTTGATATTTTGAATAAGGATTATATTGAAATTGTAGATAGCTTTGGTTAGTGTTGATATTTTAACATTAATTCTTCCAATCTATGAGCATGAATATCTTTCCATTTTTTAAATTTCCATTTATTTTATTAATGCTTTATGGTTTTTGGAAACATCTTTTACTTCTTGAGGTAATTTTATTTCCAATTATTTTATGTTTTTGTAGCTATTGTAAATTTGATTGCATTCTTGATTTCTTTCTCAGTTTGTTTGCTGTTGGTGTATGTACTGATCTTCGTATATTGATTTTGTATTTTCAACTTAACTGAATTCATTTAGCAGTTCTAATAATTTTTTGATAAAGTCTTTGGCTTTTCCCAAATATCATAACATCATCTGTGAACAAGGATAATTTGACTTCTTCCTTTCCCATGTGGATGCCCAGTATTTCTTTCTCTTGCCTAATTGCTCTGGTCAGGACTTTGAGTACTCTTTTGAATGAAAGGGGTAGGGCTGGGTGCGGTGGCTCACACCTGTAATCCCAGCTCTTTGGGAGGCCAAGGAGGGCATATTATCGAAGTCAGGTGTTTAATACCAGCCTGGCCAACATGGTGAAGCCCCTTTTTACTAAAAAAACACAAAAATTAGCCCGGCATGGTGGCACATGCCTGTAATCCCAGTTACTCAGGAGGCCAAGGCAGGAGAATTCCTTGAACCCCGGAAGCGGAGGTTGCAGTGAGCTGAGATCATGCCACTGCACTCCAGCCTGGGTAACAAGAGTGAAACTCCATCTCAAAAAAAAAAAGTGGTAGAAGTCTTGTCCCAGAAATTAAAGGAAAGAAACAATATATAACAAAACCACAGCCTTTATTTTCAAATATATTCCTTTAAACCTATTGTGTTGAAAGTTTTTATCATGAAAGGATGTCAAATTTTGTCTAATGCTTTTTCAGCATCTATTGAAATGACCATATGGTTTTTGTCTTTGATTTTGTTAATGTGATGTATCATGTTTATTAATTTGCATATGTTGACCTATCCTTGCATCCCTGGAGTGGATCCCATTTGTCATGGTGAATGATCTTTTTTATGTGCTGTTGTATTTTCTTTCTTCCTTCCTTCTTTCCTTCCTTCTTTCCTTCCTTCCTTCCTTCCTTCCTGCCTTCCTTCCTTCCTTCCTTCCTTCCTTCCTTCCTTCCTTCCTTCCTTCCTTCTCTCTCTCTCTCTCTCTTTCTTTCTTTCTTTCTTTTTGTATTTTTAGTAGAGATGGGGTTTCACCATGTTGACCAGGATGGTCTCAATCTCTTGACCTCGTGATTCACCCGCCTCGGCCTCCCAAAGTGCTGGGATTACAGGCTTGAGCCACCGCGCCCAGCGCCCTTTTTCATTTCTTTATCTCTTTCTCCTTCCCGCTCTCTCTTCTTTCCTGACTCTGCCAAACAGCATGAGGACAATGTTGACCAAATACTCTCTGCTGAATACTTCCCCTCCATGCTGGAGTTTGTGTCCCACACATTCAACCTGCAGAGCAAGAACACAGATGCCTCCCGGCTGGTGCACATCTTAAGTTCCTGGAGAGAGAAGTTGGTAACCACATCCTTTCCTTCCCAGCCGTCCTTTACTTGCTACCCATGGACAAGGGTATGGTGCCTAATTAAGTTGTAGTTTGTAGTCAGGTAAAATTTTAGGTCTATAGTATAGTAAGATAAAATAAATACAATCTAGTTTACTAATAAGTTTTTGAAAACATTTTACTTTGAAATATCTAAGAACTTATTCGAATCTAATTAACAGTGCAAGAAAACTTTTTTTCAGTCTTCATCTTTTCTATGACATTATTCAACTGAAGGATGACTTCAAAATAAGGACTTCTAAGGGGATGAAGCTACTGAGTCAAAAACACAATCTGGACTGAAAATGGCCATAAAGGAAGGTTGAGAAACATTTCAAAGACATAAAATAACAACAGACACTTAAAAAATGGGAAAACTGGCGACTGTGTGTGTGTGTGTGTGTGTGTGTGAGAGAGAGAGAGAGAGAGAGATTGAGAGAGAGAAACAGAGAGAAAAGAGAGAGACAGAGAGAGGTCTGCAGATTCAGAACCAATAAGGAACCCCCATCAGTCCTGAGAGGCTGCTGTGTAGTAGGTCCTTCCTCTCTGATTTTCACCTGCCCTAGGCTCCTTGGTGTGTCTGCACTTAATGAACTGAAGGTTCTTTTACACTCGTCCTCAGACCACAGTTTTTACTCCTAAATGTTTTTCTTTTAATAGAGTCACTAGAGAATGCAATTGGGAATGCACTGGGCTGAAGATATGGACAATGGAAATGCTCTCCCAGTGGAGCACTTTTGGGGAGGAGGGAGAAGCGGGATTGCTTTTCCTTCTTCAGCAGTGAAATCCTACAAGAAGGGCAGAGGACTCCAACCCTACCCAGAGCTTAAACCTCTGGAAAGACTCTGTACAAAGGCTCTGACTGGTTCTCTGCCCCCTACTCGCTGGGCTGGACGCTTCCATTGGCTTTTTGAACCCCAGAGTCAGTTTGGGGTTTGATAAGAACATATGAATGAGGAAGGAGGATATGGAATGGAATGAAATAGAATGGAGTGGAAGAAGAGCAAGGACATTTTCAAAGTACATTTTGCAATGGGACAGATGTTATTTCTGGAAGCCATTGTCCCAAGGGTTTGTGCCTGTGCATAGTGGGAGCGCTGTGTGTCATTCTTGCTGGAGGTCAGGTGGAAGGTTTGACAACACGCTCTAGATGAGGCACCCTCCATCCCAGGGCTGAGGTTACCCTGAAAACTCTTGGCGAGCCAACACCCTTCTGGACATGTGGCACCGTCCTCTGAGAATGCAGTTTCAGAATCAGATGCCCGCTGAGACTGAAGCTGGGTCTCATTATTGGAGACGGGGAGGTGAAGCTGGAGACAGAGGATACATTAATGGGGTCTGACTCAGCCTGTGTCTGCCCCCGTACCCACCGTGCATACCTTCTCTTTGCTTTTAACTTCTTACTCTGGAGAAGGTCCCATGGATTTTACCTCCAGTGAGCTGATGACAGGCCCATGAGTGAGCTCCCTAATGGAGTAGCATGTTTGGGCCTCTCCCTGCACTGACAGCACCTTCACCTGCACGGATTTAGGTACAGCAAGGGGGCGTGTTCACATTAATCTCTCTGTACTTTAGGTGGAGTCCAAGACCGTATGCTCAGTGGAGCTCCTGCTGGGAAGAACTAGGTGTGGAAAATTTGAAGAGGACATTGACAACTGCCCAGAGCTGAACGATGTAAGACAGTAGGACAGGACACCAGCTTCCCTCACGTCCACAGCTGTTGATGCTGCGTGGGGTGTGGTGTGGGCACGGGTGCAGCTGACAAAGAGACTTAGAGGACTGAGCCTGTAGCAGCCTCCACCAGGCCACCCTTAGAGGGGAGTGCAGAGGGCAGGCAGCCAGGGGTCCACTTGCAGGCTCCTGGCCAGTCTGAGTTTCCCGAGTCTGCCCTGTCACGCCACTGAAGCTTCCTGTACCCAGGGCACAAGGGATCACTGCTCTTGCCCCCCTGGGGTCCTGGTCTCCTAGGCCTGAGTAGAGGCTGTCCCCTCTCTGGTCTTCCTCCCCAGCCTTCCTCTGCCTTTTGAAGAAAGAGCCTGGTGGGGATCCAACATCACTTATGTCAGAGAGTGTAGTTCTCAGGGTTCCCCTCCCCTAATCCGGAGCCTAAAGTAAAGGGAGGCAGAGGAGGGGCCCCACTGCCCTCCCTCCCTGGTCCTGTCTTGGCCCCTGTTGAGCTGCAATGCCTGCTCCAGAGGACAAGGACAGATGACAAGGGGAAGCCCAGCTCTGGGGACAGGCTACCTAGGACAGGTGGACCCACTCATTGAAGGATTAACTAATAGGTTTACTATTGGCTTACCTCTGAGAGCAGATCTGGGGAGAGAGTGACATTTGGTGCTCTTGGGGGTATGAATCACACAGGCCAGCCTGCGGAGTCACAGGAGGCCACTGTCTGGGGAGCAGGTCCTAACACAGGTTACCCTGAGTAAAGAGGGGGCCCCAGATCTGGAAGCAGCTAAGAAATGTCCCAGGAGTAAGGTTGGATGGCCCCATGTGAGGATGAGAGTCGCATCCATCAATTGACAGCTTGGGAAATGAGCAAGATGGATATTGATCCTTTGCTCAGAGTGGGAGCCACAGGCTTCCTGAGCCCCCTGTCCCCTCGGCCTCTCCCATCCTTTCCCTCCCAGATGCTCACCCACTTCTTTGCTTTCAGTACCCAGCCGTGGGTAACAGTGTGAGCTCCTGAACAAGACCCGCTCAGAGGGGTCCCCTGATTGCTTCCCACCCACAGGCCTGGGCCCAGGCTGCCCTCACCTTCTTTGGGCACCAGCAATTTTCCAAAGGTGGCTCTGCGGTAGCCGGCCAGCTCCATACTCGCTTGTTCTTTTCAATTTACCGTTCCCTTGGATTCATGACTGGGCACGCAGATGTCTGGTTATATAAGCACTTGGCCAGTTTGACTGTTTGTGACTGATTGAGGCCAGGTTTGTTTTTCTCAATACCAGCTACAAGTAATGCCTCCAAGTAAGTATCAGTTTGTTACATAAAAGCTACAGAACAGACAACCTCAGGGTAACGGCCTTCTTATTGGCTTTAAGGACCGAGAGTGGTTGACTAGAACCTCGGGCATTAACTCTACTCTCTCATCATGATAAAGGACCTAGTTCGTCTCAGTTTGGTATCCAGAAGACGCCAGGCTTCCTTTTTTTTTTTTTTGAGATGGAGTTTCACTCTTGTTACCCAGGCTGGAGTGCAATGGCGCCATCTCGGCTCACCTCAACCTCCGCCTCCTGGGTTCAGACAATTCTCCTGCCTCAGCCTCCTGAGTAGCTGCAACTACAGGTGCGCACCACCATGCCCTGCTAATTTTTTGTATTTTTAGTAGAGATGGGGTTTCACTTTGTTGACCAGGATGGTCTCGATCTCTTGATCTCGAGATCCACCCGCCTTGGCCTCCCAAAGTGCTGGGATTACAGGCGTGAGCCACCGCACCCCCGAAAAATGTACTTGTTTTAACCAAGTGCCTTACTAGTTGATTCCTTGCAACTGAGTTTCTTCTATACCAGATGTATGTATCTAAGTGCAGCAGACAGTGACAACTATCTCACACCCCCCTCCCTGTTCAGCACAAAGTATTCCAAAGCAACGCTGTTAACTAGAACAACTTCAGCAAGATAAAGTTTGGAGGAGGTTGTGGCATTACAGCCTTTGCAGTAGAGTCAGCTATATGTTTGCAACCTATTTCTCATCACCTCGTTTAGAGTTATGTCAACACAGGGAAGGAGTATTCTACCACAAGATGCAAATTTAGGGGGATTTGTGCCAGCTGGCAAATTCTCTGTTATTCCACAATGCAAATTCATGGGTGTTGACCAAGGCTTAGTTTCCAGACACTGACGGAGTAAGAGTGCTGCTGTGGAAATCCACACATTGACCTTTTATTTCTCATTTACAAAACATGGATTTACTTATTCTAATGGTTGATTGTTAAATTTTCTATAGATAAAAATATATCCTGTAGGGGCACAGCAGACAGTTCCCTGTGGGGCGCTTTGTGTATCAGGGGCTATTGGAAGATAAGCATTAGTATTACTTACCCAAGGCTATTTTATTGAATTATTGCATGGCTGAAGGCCGTGGGTTATGAATGTGTCTATACACTGATGAATAATCTTTCCCTTTGGTTTTTAAATTCAGTTTCTGGTGAAAATTGACTGCAAAATCCTCACTGGAGGCTCTGTATACTGTTAGATTTAAACAAGAAATCTGAATGTAAGAGTCTTAAAGTATAACCAAGATGTGTGATTCCAACAGGCAGTCGCACTAGGAATATCAGTCAAATTTGTTGCAGGGTGAACTAGAGGATCTCTAAAATTGCGTAGGAATTTAAGTTTAGTGTGACATGTTCAACATTCAGTTAAAATTCTTGCTGAAGCTATGGATTGGGAGATCCTGATCATAGCACTGTTCTGCCACTCATAAACAGAAAGAAGGCACAGGGAAAAGAGAGAAAGGAGCAATTATTTTATGACAGCGTTAAGAGCAGTCTTGAGTCATGATCTTGGGGAAGCTGTCTACATCTAGAATGCCATCTGCTTCTGGAGGGAACCCACACTGTGCAGTTTCACCTTGGAGTGGTCAATGGATGTACAGTCACAAGAGTCTGAAGGGGCCCTTGGGAGCTGAGAAACGTGGACCCAGCGCTCTAGGCCCTTCAGTTTTGCTGAGATGGATACTGAGAAGAACTTGGCCTGGTCATTTCCAGTGGGGTTTAGGGGAAGCCTTTTTCTGGTGTTATTTCTTAAAGACGCAGTCTCTGGGTTCCAGATTATGAAAGGTCTCTTTGTCATCAGTTGGGGGGTCTTGTAAAGCTTCTTTTATTTGATGAAAATATACTTTGAAATAATGCAGTAAAATTTGTAACACTGACTCATGTTGGAATGTATAAAATCAAGAGATATATAAGACTCTATTATTGGGTGCATAGGTCTTCTAGTAACGAGCCATGAAATATTAATTTGTGTTTTCCTGTGGGAGTGGATCTAATTGCCACCAAAACTGATAGTAACACATTTGGCCAAAAAAGTCTTGTCGATTCATTAGCTTCTCCAGTTTCAGTCTTAAAATGCCATTTGTTCTTTCTCCCATAAAATTAAGTATGATAGAAACAATGGTAATGCCATCGTGCTTGTCATAACTTATTTAACTGTGCTATAACTTGTCCAGTGAAATGAGTGTTTCTATTGCTGGAGATTTATTCAGGAATTCCCCATAAAGGTAACACATTTTCTAAAAACCTTCCAGCTACTATGTTATAGTACTAGCCTTCCTGCATGGGAAAGCTTCTATACAACCAGAGAACACACAGATTTTTATAAGAACATATTGCTGGCCAGGCGCAGTAGCTCCTGCCTGTAATCCCAGTACTTTGGGAGGCCAAAGTGGGTGGATCACCTGAGGTCAGGAGTTCAAGACCAGCCTGGCCAACACGGAGAAACCCCATCTCCCTCCCCCTCCCCCTCGCCCCCCCCTCCCCCTCGCCCCCCCCCCCCTCGCCCTCCCCCTCCCCCTCCCCCTCGCCCTCCCCCTCCCCCTCCCCCTCCCCCTCCCTCTCCCTCTCTCCTCTCTCTCTCTCTCTCTCTCTCTCTCTCTCTCTCTCTCTCTCTCTGTAGCCCACTGAGAGTGGCAGCTGAAGGAAGTTCAGCTGTAAGTGCTCGAATGCTCCAGCTAGTGGTGGAAATACTCCACCTGAGGTTTTTATTATTTTATAGTACTTCTTATACAGTTTAAAATATCAAATAAGCCTGATTAGTTTATTGTTGTTTGTAAGGAGAGAAAACAGACTCTTTGGAGATGTTACATGGGCCATCTGGAAACTCCAAAGTTAGTTTAAGGTCACAGGACTTAGCGTAGAATTTGATTTTGGATATAAACTTAAAAAAAATTTTTTTAATTAAAAGAAAGAAGGAACAAAAAAAATTTAAAAACACACAAAAAATAGAATCTGATTTTGGGAAGTTGTGAAAAGTTTTGCTGCCTGAATGCTTGATTAAGTAGGACACGGGGTCGCCGTGACAAAATGTTGCTACTCGAGACAGTGATGAACAGATTTTAAAGGCAAATACAGAAAGTTACTTTGTTATAGTGAAACCTTGACTCTTTCAATAGAGAGGTTTCGCTTTTCTTAAGTAGTTAAAGACTTGACAAAAGACAACATGAAGCACAGTGAATTGTTTTGATAAGACACGATCTTTGTCTCCTAGCTAGAATTCTTAAAAAGCTAAAAAACCCTCACAATTTCATATTAGGGCATCCCAATAATCCAAGATATTCTTGTCATTTTAACATAGGAGACCCAATTCTAGTGTTACATCAGCATACTTTTGATATTAATGATCAATGAAACAAAATTATAAATAATTTCTTTCAAATTTTATCAAACTTTATCACGTATGAAATTTCTTTTCCAAGATTTCTTCCCACAAACCTTCTATAACTTCTTTTCTATCAGTTTCATTTTGTCCTATCTGCTTTCTCTTTTCCATCATGGAAAAACCAACCATTCTACTTTAGGTTAAAAAAAAAATTAGTCTTTCTTTTCAAAGAAAAACACATGGTGTATCTCTGATAGCTTCACCTACCAAAACCTTGTCTTGCTAGTCCTACACACAAAGTTGTTTCTGTTATTATTTCCATCATTAAGTATCATATGTTAGTTATAACTCTTAATTACTGGTACCTTGACTTTCTAGTGAAAACTAGAGGGTAAGCAAGTGTGGATGGCTTGTCACAGATGGGTACCCTGTAAATTAATGTTATTCGATCATTTCTCACAGCATCTGCGTCCTCCTGGTAGCATTTTTCAATGTGGCATAGGGCAGGTTTACAAATGACCAGATGTTTTTAATTTTTTCGTAATAAGAAGCCAAAAGTCAGAAATCTTACGTTTACCAAATAATATTTAACATCTTATCTTATTTGTAAATGATCTAGATATTCAATTATTCAATTAATATACATTCTTTAAGTTCCCTACCAAAATTCCAAAAGGTACAAAAGAGATTTGAGACGCGGATTAGACATTCTGTAACACCAAGCAAGTCTAACCATTATCAAATTATTTTTCTTCTAGCTACTTTTAAAGAATGTGCATGTTAGGCAGTCCTCAGAAAAGCCAGAACTCTGAAGAGTTAAATACATGTTTCTGTTTTCATTTCTGGTATCACTGCTACGCTTGAGATACCTGAAGCAATGGACACTCCGCTTTCACCTGCACATTTGTTCTTAAGTCAAACTCATACTTCAATAATCTTAAACTTTTGGTGGACATTACATAAACTCCCCTGACCAGTAAATCTATGAAGAATAAAATTGTGTGCTCTCATATTTAATCCTGACGACTCTGAAGAAATGCCTGTTTTAATTCAGCCAACAAACATAAACTAGATTTTTTTAACTGAAAAATTATTCCAGATCACATGAACTGGGAAAGTATTTTACGGTAGTTTCTATCGTTCTATGAGTTTTGGTAAATGTTTCATTTATGTAAGTGCTTATTTTTCTTTAAGCCAATTAAATAGAGCTCCTTTTTATATCAACTTTGATAATACCATGCAGAGGTAGGAACATATAGCATATGCATATAACATACAGACACCTACAGACGGAAGCAAATGCTACAGCTTGCACTTTAGAACTTTACTTATGTGCCAGGTACGATAACACAAAGCTCACAAGTTTGTAAAATAATGTCTTGATTCGAATTGTGCTTCTGACTGCTGGAACAAAATTGCCTGCTAAAAAGGCTAGTTTTTTACTAATATATATGGAAAACAACTTTAAAGGCTTCAGATTTTCTTTTTTGGGAGGAAACGTTTAGAAAGATAGTTTTTACTCATTTTATTATTTAGGAACTTCTGCATGCCAACGAAAACTACAACCCACTGTTCCATTAGTTTTGTTTTTATTTTGTTGGTGGTGATGGTATTGCTTTTAGAGGTTTTGGATTCGTTCCTATTGCACCTTGCAAATGAACAATGTTGCCAAGATTAAAACTTCCCTGTGTGAATGCTGTCATTCTAAATTGTCCTTAGCAAGGTTAACTTGTTTGTCCAAAAATACAAAGGTTCCTGGTTCCTAATTATCAGACATGAAATTAGCCAGTATCCCAGCAAGTGGAGTCCTAGGCTCCTTTCTTTGGAGAAATCAATTTTCAGAAAACACCTACCTGAGGGCTCTATCTGGTGTCAGGTTTGCTGTTTATTGGATCCATTCTGATTCTGAATGGAGTCTGGCTAAGGAAATGCGCAAATGAAGTTGGAGAGGTCAAAATGCAAGATTCTGGAGCTCCTATTTGGAAGGAAACTCACCCCCCTTTTCCAGCTGCAGCAAGAGAGCACCGTTGGTGCCTGGGCTGGGGTAGTAGGTTTTCATAGATGCTGTTGGGGTTTGCCTTAGGGTTCCACATCTGACAGTAAATTGTTAAAGAAAAACTTTAGACAAAGTGAATTCAACAGAGTTCGTTGGGTAAAGAAGAATTCACGAATTGGGCAACACTGTAAACTGGAAAAGATTGAGAAAGTTTTTCTCTAGTAGTGTAAACAGCAAGGTTTCACAGGCTAAACAAGGCAGCAAAGTAAAGAAATTCTCTGATTGGCTTAGCTAGATGTCTACCTTATTTGGGCATGATGTAATGATAGGGGTAATGACTGCAGCATTTATCTTGCTAACTTCAGACACCAGAATCACCCGAACCCACGTTAAAACCCAAGTTTTAGCCACCCTACTTCCCAAGACACTGACAAAGTAGGTGTGGGCAGGGCCAGGAAAATCCCACCTCTAACCAGCACCCAAGATTTGAATGGGGACGTTCCTGGTCCTAGGTGTTTGCCTTGTTTGGGTATCTTGTGACCAGAGGTCCCTAGTTATATAACTGACCGGCTGGCTGTTTGTGATTGATTGATGCTGGGTTTTAATTTATAAGTCAGCCATGAGAAATGCCTCCAAGTTAAGTTTTGATTTACTTATGAAAGAGTTCCACGTACAAAAGCAACCTCATGATAACGATCTATTATTTGCTTTAATAGAGGACACTGTAACATGGGCAATAGTTTAATCTCTGAGCACACTGCCTATAAGAAAGCAATAACCATATATACACAATAGAAACTCTCCTTCTCCTTTCCAATCAGGCAGTGTTCTGACCCTTCCCCAATTCAATGTGAGCTGAAGAAACCATCCTCAGCCTCACCCCAGTGCCCTTTGGGGCGAGTTCCTTCTCACTTGTGGTTGGGTCTGCATGGACACTGCAATGAGGTCTTCTGAACCTGCACCATTCAAAGTGTGGTCTGGGGGACAGGAGCATGTCCGTCCCAGGGGAGCTGGTGAGACATACAAATTCCCCGGCCCTGCCCAGGCCTAGTGGGCAGATTCCTGGGGTATAGGGAGAATAAGAACTTGGGTTTAGGGCATTTAGAACTTGCCTTCAGGATATTCTAGTCCCTCTGAAGTTCACAAGTAACTGCAGATAAATGCTGAAGGCATATTTATGGAAAAGAAACTTAAGTCTTGTCCAGAAAGAGTAATTACCTTTTAGCTGGAGAATGTGATGGTTTCTTTCTAGAGGCCAGACTGTGGACCACAGGGGTATATCCAGCTGGGATGTAAATGCAAAAATTCAACTCTGAGTTGGGTGCCCTGAGGTTGGGAAGACTGAGACATACCTCCTCACTTCCAGTGACAGAATGTGGCCCTCAGACTTGACCTCTTCCAAACCTGCAGGGTGCACCCGCTCTGCTGATGGAGCCCATTTGCACAGATCAGCACCTGAGCGAAGCTGGGGGAGACGCAGCTGCTGGTGTGGGAGCTGGTAGCATGTTACGTCTCGGGCACCAGAGGAGCGCTTGGTGTCAGAGCCTGGTAACTACGGCCTGAGGCCCAAGCGGCTCACTGCCTGTTTGTGTAAATAAACGCTTATTGGGACACAACCAGTCTGATATGTTTGCTTGGCTACTGTTCCTTTCAAGGCATGCCAGCAATGCTGACTCACTGAGAGAGACCATCTGCCCACAAAGGCCAGGATAGTTACTCTCTGGCTTCTTCAGATTTTTTTTTTTTTTTTTTTTTTTGGCCAAACTCTGGTTTAGGTGACTTGGCCAGGGTCTTAGCACCATCCAGTCTGCCCGTGCATCTCATGCTGCATCCCGTGGGGGTGCACATTCCTGTAAATCCTGCATTTTCAGGGGATTTCTGTATCCCTGGGGACTAGTGAGAGTGCAGATGCATTTTTCAAAGGTCAGAGGTGCTGAAGTTGTATATTTCTAAGATTCTTCCAGAAGATGCTGCTGCTCTGGATGCCAGGACAAGCTTATAAGGGTGAGGTTAGAAGTCCTTCCTCTACCCACCAGCCTTCCATGGACCAGGAAAGGTGTGCAAGCCACCCCTCAAGCGCAGCAGCCACTGAGGTCTTAGAGAATCAAGCAAAGCATTAGGAAAGCCTAAGCAGGAGATCTGGACAGTCTCAATCTCTGAGACGTCCAAGGTTCCAGCATGAATCTTATCAGACACCATTACTTGACCAGATGCCCTCTGAGTGTGATGAGTGGGACCCAGAGGCCCTGTCTTGCTCCATCATGCACATTGGGTGCCCCGGAAGATCACAACGTTTTACCTCTGGCCACATGGGCCATCATCAGCCATGCGCCTGGTGACAGCAGCTCAGACTCATCTTGGTTGTGCCACCTGGAGCTGGCTTACGGGGTCCTAAGGGAGGGAGGACCCCACTGACCCAGATGCAAACAGGCTGCCCTCCTGAGAGGAACTCCATCGACTGCCCAGCCCCCTTTCTCCAGCACATGGCACAGGAAGCTTTTGGAAATGCTGATGTTTAATGACCTATTCTACAGGAGGAACCTGGACAAAGAGAAGTTTCTAAAATGCCAAGCCATAAACCTCAGACACTTGCAAAGTGAGAGAACACATATGCAAGGAGCTGGCCAGCCACTGATGTGTCAACTCCTGGGAACAGCAGGTGTCCGTAGAGGAGGCGACAGCATGTGGTCAGACATGTGAGTGGCTTCCACTCAGGAGAGACCCTCTGAGCAGGTCTTGTTCAGGAGTTCAAAATATGTCTTCCAGGGCATGGTTTCCACAGTGAAGAAGCAGCTGAAGGTCTGCGGGAACAAGCACAGGAAGAGACAGGAGGGCCAGGGTGGGGGAGGTTTGAGAATCTGGTGGCATCTGCTCTCAACACAGGTTCCATTGCCACCTTGCCCATTCCTGCAGCCAGCAATTGAGCCATGTGGCTCCTGCCTTCAGGTCTGGCCTGAGCCTGAGGCCAATCCTGAATCGCATCGTGATTTGAGGCTCCCTCCTTCGCCAGGGTCACCTGTGCCATGCCTCCTCCTCCAGCCAGCGGCCCTTAGCGGAACCCCAGGATGTCCCTGTGTGACCCCTGCACCCAGGAGTAGCAGGAGAATGCTTTGTCCCATGGAAGCAGTTTTCAGGCTTAGGCAACTAGCTACCTATTTCTTCATCTTACAGTAATAAGATGACTAAGAATGAGAAGGGTTTTCCCAGAGCCAGGCCTCTCTTGGAGCTTGTCCCCTAGAGCAGGTGCTGCAGCTCAGCAGGGCCTGAGAGTGAGGCAGGGGGGCTTCTTCTCAGCTCCACCTTTTGAGTCTAGAGCAGGAAAACCCTGAGAACAGTATCCACAGACGTTGTCACCACTGTCTCCAGGCTCTTTCTCTAGAAGGCAGGGAAGAAGCAGAGAGGAAGACCAGAGAGAAGGTTCTGAAGGCCACGTGGCCCACGTGCAGGCGGCTGCAATGGTGTCAGAGGGCAGAGTAAGGAAACAGATTGGCCCGGAGCCTGAGAGTGAAGGAGACCCCTGGGCTTCCTGCGTCACTAGGCTCCCCACTAAGGCACAGGCAAGGCAGCCTGGTAGAGCCTGCTGCGGGCTCACTCGCCTTTGTCCCTCAGAATGGCTTTGCAGCTGCTCCTGTGCCCACACCACACCCCACGCAACATCCATAGCTTTGGACGTGAGAGAAGCTGGTGCCTTGTCTTACATTGTTCAGCTCTGGGCTTTCTTGAAAAGGGCAGTTTTCAATGTCATCTTCGAATTTCCTACATACGGTTCGGCGCAGCTGCAGATTCATGGAGAACACCATCTTACCTCGCCACTGTTGGGGAAAAAAAGATAATGTGGACGCACTGTCTGTCTTCCTGCCCCCAAGTAGCTGAGATTGGCCAGACCTCCGGCTTCTGTTGTGTGAAGACACCATTTGTGTAGGAGAGGCCCCAACACTCTAGTGCATTTGGGAGCTCGCCCATGCGCCTGGCATCAGCTCACTGGAGGTAAAACCCAGGGACCTTCTCTAGACTGAGGAGTTAACAGCAAAGAGCAGGTGGGCGTGGTGCGGCTGGGGAGGACCCCACTAACACATTCTCCACCTCTACCCACCCCCCTCCCATGGTGAGGCTCCAGCATCACTCTCAGCAGGCCTCTGATCTTGCAGCTGCATTTCCGGAGGACAGAGCCACATGTCCAGGAGGGCGTCGGCTCTCCAAGAGTTTTCAGGGTACGCTCAGCCCTGGGGCAGAGGGAGCTGCATCTACAGCCTGTCGTCAAACCTTCCACCTGACCTCTGGCAAGAAAAATGACCCACAGTGCTCTCACTACACACAGGCACAAACCCTAGGAAAAGGGCTTCGGGAACCCCTGCAGAGTGCATGCTGACATTCTCCTTGCTCGCCTTCCCACTCCGTTCTATTTCATTCCACTCCACACCCTCCCTCCCCATCCACGCATTCCTCCCAGCCCCCAAACTGACTCTGGGATTGCCACATCCAGGAAGCCACGTGGGAGGCTTTTAGGACTCACAGTCATTCGAGACTTGCAGACCACAGTAAGGAGCTTAGAACAGAGGCTTACACTGAGGTCTTAGAGAACCAGAGCTCTGGGAAAACAGAAGCCGGATGTCTGGCCAATCTCAATCTCCGAGACTTCCAATGTTCCAGCACAAATCTTATCAGACACCATTACTTGACCAGATGCCCCTCTGAGGGTTGCATCAGGCTTCTAACTCTCCTGGGAGGAGGCAGCAAAGGAGCAAGGAGGAGAACTCCTCTGTACAAGCATTGCAATCCTGAGGACAGCAGTGAAGACTCCCCCCCGGGGGGCAGAGCACCAGCCGGGGCCTTGCACAGTCTTTCCAGAGCTTGAGCTCCATGCAGCACTGGCGTCCGTCTGCCCTTCTTTCAGCCTCCTGGTGCTGAGAAAGGAAGACCAATGCTCCTTCTCCCCCGGAGCCAGAAGTGCTCCATTAGGAGCGCATTTTAATTGTTCGTGCCTGTAGCCCGGATGAACTGTGCACTCCCGATTGCATTAATGGTTTCATGAAAAAGGCAAGCATTTTAGGATGAGGAACCATTGACTGAGGAAGAGTGTAAATCAGCCTTCAGTTCATTAACTGCAGACAGAACGAGGAGCCCAGAGGAGGTGGAAATCAGAGAACTGACCTCTCACAGTGGCCTCTCGGGGCTGATGGTGTTTCTTATTGCCCCCAAATTCCCACTGCTCTCTGCGTGTGTGTGTGTGTGTGTGTGTGTGTTCCCTTGCTTTTCTATTTTCATTTTATGACCTTAGAATATTTCAGTCTCTTCAGTCATTTTCCCTGCTTGTCAGCTTCATCTCCTTAGAAGTCCTTATTCCGAAGTCACTCTTAGGTTATTGTATAAGGTCATAAAAATCATGAAGATTGAAAACTACATCTTGCATGTGAATAGACATTGACCTAATTTAAAACAATCTCTGAGTTCAATGTTTTCCAGAACTGAAAGTACTGTAATTAGGTCTGGACTACCCAAGTATGGACTGCAGATGGTGAACCCGGTTTCCTAGACTAGACACCCTGGTCCCTCACTTAGGGGCAGACGGAGAAGGACAGGCCAGAAGAGAATGTGGTCACCAACCTTTCTGTCACTGCTGTTCTCCCTCCAGGAACTCAGGATGTGCAGCAGCCGGTAGGCATGCTCCTCCTTGCTCTGCACGTTGAAAGTGTTCAAGGCAAACCCCACTGTGGCCAGGAACACAGGATCCTGGACCATTTTATGATCCCTACGCATTTCCTCTTCAGAGCACCAGGCGTAGGTCACCAGGAGCTGGAGGCCCATGAGGAGCAGTGACAGTGCCCAGGGCAGAGCCCTCCTCTGCGGACTCGACATGGTGTAGGGCCCAGCAGCCCCTGCTTTTGCCCTTCAGAGCCCTGGCATCCACTGAAGCCTTCCAGGGCTCAGGTCTGGCCCTTAAATTGACCCGCTGGTGCAGAAACGCCTCCTCCAGGCCTCACGGCTTCGGTTCCACCCTGTGTCTCCCACACAGAAGCTTCCTTCCTCCAAAGCCGGTTAAATCACCTCCTGTTCAGGGGAGAGGAACGTGAACACCCAGGCAGGTGGGATGGGAAGGTGCAATGGGAGAGAGGGTGCCCCTGACATGAGCCCCAGCCCCAGCAGCCCAGCACCCCCACGGGCAGAGGGAGACCTCCATGGGGCACCCCAGAGTCAGATCCCGGAATACAAGTGCCAGAGGTGTGAGTGGACAGTGACCCCAGGACACAGCAGTGGGACTGGGATGGGAGGGGAGGAGCCGTGGGAAGGCAGAGGCGAAAAAGATGGAAAGGGTGACAGTGGGTGCCAGGGTCGTGGGTGAGCCCCGGGAAAGCGCTGCGCCTCTTGAGAGAGAGGCGGGGAGTCCGGGAGGTGTCTGCCTCCCCATCCCCTCCCGCTACGCTAAAGGTCTCAAGATGGGGGCGCCAGCCTGGGGGTCAGGGACAGGGGTTGAGGAAACCAAGAGCAGGCATCCTCAACGTTGTTCTCTGCGCCTCCCCGAGCGCAGCTTCCCAGCCCAGGGATGGCTGCCAAGTGCTGGGCTGGGGGCCTGGCTGGTTATGGCCGCCCCCATCCCTCAAAGGCCTTTCGAGGACCGGTGGACACCTGCAACCGGAGCACTGGAGAGCCTGAGAGAGGAAGACGCCCCAGGATGGCTGAGGGGCGCCCATTTGGTCGCCACTGGTGCCCTCCTGTGGCCACAGCCGGCACAGCTCAGTGTCACAGTCTTGGGGACCAAGACCCTCAGAGCCTCCAACTCCAGTAGCGAGCAGGGCTCTGAAAACCCTGAATAATGCGCTTTTCCCAGACCAGACTTAATAAAAGCTTTGTGTCTGGGAAACGTGCCTCCGATGTTTATCCACAGCTCCCTGTAAACTTCAGAAGAAACCAGCATCCCCTGAAGTCATGTTAAAAAGCAGGTTCCTGGTTCCGCCACCCAAAGATTCTGACCCAGAAGCTGTGAGCAGGGCCAGGAACCTGCATTTCTCCCCAGCTTCTAGAGGATGGTGGTGTTCCTGGCACAGGTTCAGAATACTTCCTGGGGACCGCATACAGACCAAACCACAGTGAGAAGTGACTCACAGGAGGGGCGCGGGGGTCGGGGGATGAGAATGGCTTCTGCGGGGCACACAGGATGGGGGACAGGCTCAGACAGCATGGCTGGTGATAAAGAATAAGAGTTTGTTTCTAGACCCCATTTGCAAAGAAAAAGCAACTCAATGTGACCATTCCAGGAAGCGGCCAGATGTGCCACAAAACAGCACCCAAGGGGGCTGCATCAGTTCTGTGATGGCGTGGAGTTCACTGGACCTGCAGCTGATGCATAAGTCATGTGGTTTCTTAGCTGGAGAGTGATGGTGCGTGTCGGGGTGGGAAGGGGGTGTCAGCGATTGCAGAAATGCCTTCGTGGGTGTTGGGACGAGCAGGCCAAAAGGAGCTGTGAGAACTAGAATCCTGGCACCTGAATAGGTGCGAGTGTCCGAAGAGACGCCTGCAGTGCCCACACGGAGGTCACTCTCACCTTGCAAGGTGAGCAGTCAGCAAACTTGGGCATCTTGCCAGTGGCCAGTGGGTCTCCCACCATTCTGAGGGCAGATGTCCATATGCGCTCCAAGGGAGTGCCCACACTCACTCTTACATGAGCAGTGTTATCTGGTCCTGGGCACTAGACCTGTCCTCACTGTTCAGCGGAGGGGGGACAGGAGATCTTCACACCCAGACATGGGACCACAGGCATGCAGACACCACGGACCCCTACAAGTGTGTCTACTTTCTGGTTAAGCCCCAGCAGCCTGGGGTGGCCGCTCTTGCCAGGTGGAGAGAGACAGAAACATAAAGGACATGGAGCCCCAAGGACGTGGTCAACACGTTGTTGAGGCCAGAGTGAAACCAGAGGGCCTGGAGCCCACAGCCACAGCTCACAGCTCTCTGCGGGGCTGTTCCCAGGTCTCAGGTCTGGGAGGCTTTTACTCCTGAGTGCCCTTGCAAGAGTTCCATCTCACTCAGCCTCGTCCTGGGCCCTCGTTGGCCTGTCTCCAGGGCAGCTGGGACTTGTGCAGTGCCCTCTTTGTGTTGCTGGCACTGGCATCGAGCACCCGTGTGGTCTCATCAGAAGGTCCCAGTGACTCCTCATTGAAATGACCTGCTTTCAGGGAACCGAGTCCCTGTATTTCTGAACTCATTGCTTTGAATGATTAGAGAATGCTAGCAATAACCAGGACCAAGCCACTGGCCCTTCTCTGTGGAGCTGAATATCAGGTGGTGGGCCAGGGGAAGCCCACTGTCTCTTTGGACACAGGACGCTCTCCCCAGCTCCCATGGACTCTGTGGCTGGGTGCTCTCCCCAGGGTCTGGCTCACGTCCCTCACTGCCCACCTGCTCAGCCGCATCCTCTGAGGGTCCTGCGTGACTTTAATCACTGCTTGTTTCCAGCTGGGCCAGGCTCAGCGGGGCCTGCCCGTTTCAGGACGGCTGCTGGGCATCCAGTTCACTTCCTCAGTCCCCTCCCATTCCTCCTGCTTTCCCTGGGAAACTCCCCAGACAAGCCAGCATTCCCTGGGGTTTCAGCGCCCTGGAAAACAAGGTGGTGTCCAGGGGATCGAAGGAAGACAGCGGGGGGGGGGGGGGGGGGGGGGGGGGGGGGGGGGGGGGGGGGGGGGGGGGGGAGGGGGCAGGGAGGAGCCCCAGGCCAGAGGAGTGAGCACTCATCAGAGCGGCAGCTGAGGGGTTACCGGCGAGTTCCACGGCCTTCTCCACGCCTCCCGCTCCTCCTCCAGTTTTTCCAGCTGGGGAGTTCTTCTTAGCTCAGTCTTCAGCTGACTTTGAGTTTTGATAATTTAAGGAATTAATCTTAAATAGACTTCCGGCAAGTTTAAACTGAAAAAGAGGAATAATAATGGAATTTATAACAACAAAAGGAGAAATAAAAATACAAACGTTACCACTACCTATATGAGGCCTAAATCAGGGGTCACTCGTACTTCGAGCAAATCTGAAGTCCCATGGACTGTTTCTTCTCCCTCGTGTGGGTCCCGCAGGTCCCTCACCCTGGCTAGGTCGGGGGTGCAGCCCTGAGCCAGGGAGCTTGGCTCTGAAGAGGAGGTGCTGCCCCAGTGGCCCTCCGCAGACCCCCCATTTGCTGGCCTTTGCTAAGCTTCTGCTGTGCCCCCCACCAAATCCTCTCCCACCAAACACAGCCCAGTGTTTTCTTTCCTAAGTACGTTAGTTTTTTAAAAACGTTAATTAGAATAAAAGACTAAAAAAATGTTATAATACCACTTCTTTTTTATTTTTAACATTTTCTGAAGAGATGGAGTCTCACTGTGCTGCCCAAGCTGGTCTGGAATCCCTGGCCTCCAGGGATCCTCCGCCTCAGCCTACAATTCCACTTTTACTAAGTGAAATGTAGGTTTCAACATAATAGAAACTCCAAATACCCCGTGGCTTAAACAAGCCGGTGTTGCTTTCTCTCTCAGGATGCTGACAATGACTGGAATGCATACAGGCCTCATTCCTGCTGGGCAGACTGCCTCAGCACTCTAGCCTCACATGGAAACAGTCAACCAAAATGGCATACATTGTTACATCTTATTTTTCAACATTTTGCATAAATAATAATGACTGCATTTCTTACAATTTGATGCTTTCATTCAAATCGTATTTGTGAGATTCACCTGTGTTGACACTTGTCGCTCTAGCTCCTTCGTTATTACGGTTCTGCTTGACCTGACAGACTGTGGTTAATTAAATCCCGATTTAATTGGGGATGATGACATGGGGTGGAGTTTGCAGGGCCAGGCCCTCGAGACGATAATTAACAGACTGTGGTTAATTAAAGCAATCTCTAGTGACTTACAATGGGTTGATTCCACTCATTTCCTCTTAAATTGGGGTTGCAACAGGCATCTTTGTCTGGGTTTTCATGCACACAGGCATGAGAGTTGCTCCAGGGCAGGCACCAGGAGGAAAATGCAGACATATGAGGTAACCTCCTCTCGGCTTTATTAGGGATCGCTGTGCCGATTTCCTTTTTTCTCTTTTTTTCTTTTTTGAGACAGGGTCTCATTATGTTGCTTAGGCTGGTCTTGAACCTCTGGGCTCGAGTGATCCTCTTGCCTCAGCTTCCAACAGTGTTGGGATTACAGGAGTGAGCACCACATGCGGCCTGATTTCTTTTACCATATAGACTTTTCTTAAAAATTGACAACAGTTTAATGTATCGATGTTTTTGTTTAGGGTTCGTGCTTTTGTGTTTTTTATTTTAACAATCTTTTCCTTTGCTCTTCCATGTTCTCTTTCACCATGTTTGTTCTTTCACCGTTCACATGTAGGTGTGTAATCTGGCTGGAGGCTGAGTGTGTGTGGTGTGAGGTCAGAATCCCAGGGCCGATCCGCTCTGCCACTGCCTGCGTGTGTAGCTGGCTTTTCCAGCTCTAGATGATGAGCGGTTCATTCTCCACCCTCTGATTCCAACAGCATTTCTATCATAGTCCCGTTTCCCAAAAACACGCTGGTTGCCTTTGAGTCTCTCTTCCACTGGCTGTATGAAGGAGGCACAGGCCTGGGCTAAAAAGACCATTGTTTGATCTTGGCCAGGAAAGGGAGAGAACTGCTTGGGTGCATCCCAGGGCTACACTTCCTGCACCCTGCCTGCTAGAGTACAGGAGGTCTGCTCCTGAGTTCTGGCCCCTGACTCCCGGCCACACCCTCTCATCCTCGGGCTGCTGCTCTGTGCTAAGATCCTCTCTTCGAGGCATATGATCTGAGTTTGGATCCCAGCTTTCTGGAAAGGCTTCGTGTCTTGGCCATCATTATCCATGTTGCTGTTATCACCACAAGCACCTCGCCCTGCAAGCTCACCCCCTTCCCTCATTCCTTGAGAACATGAGTTTTGTTCTTGCAGGCAGCTTGTCTTCCTGGGAAGTTGAAATTACCCTTTTGATGCAGACAAGCCCTTGTCCTGAAGAGTAAGGAGAGGAACCAGGTGTCCAGAGGCGGGAGTGCAGAACTGGAGACGTGATAAGTGGGGTGACCTTGACT